GGTATTCCTGCGTATGAAGCCGATCATTGAGAATTTCTTCACGACTAGCATTTCTCTACGACTTGCGAGTGTAGGTAAGTTTATGAGCTTTAGACGAATTGTGTAAGGGAGGAGACTGTAATCTGAATCCTAGTTAAAATCACGCAGTGCAAAAAGCAAGAATCGTTTTTGAATTGATCCAATCCTTTCTGAATGAACCTGGTAGCGGGGATTCCAAAAAATAGATCCATATTCTAGTATAGGTCTAACTAAAGTGGTAAAAAGAGCTATTGTAACATAAGGATCTTTGAACTCTTTTGACCATCGCTTTAGAAATGCAAAAACGCTTTTAGCTTTATTGACTTTAACATTAATATGATGGTTGAAATTGAGTTTGGAATCCATTGTGATACCAAGATCGACAAAATTGGATACCTGCTACAGATTATAATTTGATATTGAATAAACAGCTGGTTGAACAGCCCTCCAAGAGAAACACATAACTTTACATTTTTAAAGGTTTAGTGGCATATAGTTTGCATTACACCAACTAACCACGTTGCTCAGATTCGCTTGTAACAAAGACCTTTCTTCGATAGAGGAGAACGTTTTAAAAAGTTTCACATCATCGGCATACCTTAAAATTTTTGAATGTTTTATTATAGAAGAAATATCATTAATGAATATCAGGAACAGAATCGGACCAAGGTGGCTTCCCTAAGGAACTCCTGAAGAAAGTTTAATGATGTTGGAAGAACAATCTATATATTATTCTGTAACAAGGCGCTTGTTCCCAGCGATCTACAAATGGCACACAGACAAATTATACATCAAATTAAAGTGCTCGGTCTGGAACTTTGCACAAACTTTACAGATTTAAGATTCATTAAACCATTTTCGAAATATTTGCGTCGAAAAATTTACAATTTTTATATTGAGAAAAGCATTGCTACGTTCATCTCGATAGGTAGCGTCTCAGCGGGAAATAAGAGAATGAAAAATTGTTCCATTTATTCGCTTTCGTCTCTGTTTTTGTTTTATAGTTGATCGCATTGCTACGTTCGTGTGCATGTAGGCAGCGATACAGCGGAAGATCTGGGCGGTTACCCTGTAATGCAAAGCGAATGAAAAAATTTTAGCATTTGTAAATTTCGTAGTCTGTAGTTCGATAATCGCAAAGGTTTTTGACATTTTCGCATTTAGTTTTTCCCTTTCGCATTAATTTTTTCCCCCTCGCTTTGGCAGCACTCTGTTTTGCAAAGGCAGATGTCAAACACTCTTGACATTCGCAATTTCTACGCTACAGCTAAAAAGCAGTCGCATTGTACAAAAATGTAAGTATAAAATAAAAATTACATGATTTAGGTGGTATAATGTAGTAATAAAATGTTAAATTTATTGGGAGAACCCAAAAACTAAATAAGCGCAGCAAAAGCAGTTTGAAATTCTTGTGGACTTCATGAGATCGCATCCTGACTTGTCCAAAGGACTCTTAAAAAGTTCGGACACTAAAAATGCTTCCNGCGCAGCAAAAGCAGTTTGAAATTCTTGTGGACTTCATGAGATCGCATCCCGACTTGTCCAAAGGACTCTTAAAAAGTTCGGACACTAAAAATGCTTCTAATAATCTGTGGAAGAAGTTAGTGTGCCAGTTAAATGCAGCTGGTCCACCAATGCGCAATATAGCCGGTTGAAAAAAGGTGATTTTATGTATGCAGTATTTAAGAATTTTGATATAATGTATGTAATAAATTTCTAGGTTTGGGCTGACTATAAAGTACATTTAAAGGCCAAACTGCGCCGTAACAAACAAAGCGTTTCGGGAACTGGAGGCGGTCCTTTAACTTACGTACCATTGTCACAGTTGGAGCAGCAAGTGAGTTGTTGTGCACTGAGCAATCAGTAAGCGGGATAAGTGGCACACTGGTGTTTGGTGCAGCGTCAAGTGCATGCAGGAAGAACAAATTGAAACAACCGAAACTGAAAATGTCGAACCCAGTCAACGGAAAAATTACTTATTTATAGAAGCGAATGAATATGAAGCTGAGCTACCTCAATGTTCAAGTGCCACACCTACTCCGCGCAAGAAGCAGAGTCTACTTGAACGACAAGTTGAAAATCAAATTGTGTTTCAAAAGAATTCAGCAAAAGCATTGAACGACATAAATTTTAATTTGAAAAACATTTTTAAAACAATGAAAAAAAGTAAATAATTAGCAAAACGAAAGTTCAATCTAGAAAATGAAGTTTATCTTCAAGCAAAAAATTGAGCGTCAAAAATTGCAGCTAAAGCTCCGAAAGTTAGAGCTAAAAAAAGAAATGCTTGAAANGAAAATCAAATTGTGTTTCAAAAGAATTCAGCAAAAGCATTGAACGACATAAATTTTAATTTGAAAAACATTTTTAAAACAATGAAAAAAAGTAAATAATTAGCAAAACGAAAGTTCAATCTTGAAAATGAAAAGTTTATCTTCAAGCAAAAAATTGAGCGTCAAAAATTGCAGCTAAAGCTCCGAAAGTTAGAGCTAAAAAAAGAAATGCTTGAAGTTGAATTAAAAGCCAAAGAGTTGATCTCTAAATATCTAACCAGCGACTGCACTGTGCAACAATTTCAAGGTCATTGTCTAAGTCGGAATGATTCTAACTCTGGAAAAATCCCTAGACTCACATAGTAAAACCTCCAAATTTGTTTGCATTCGCAGCTAAATTTAATTTTTTGTGGTCATTTTATGTTTAGAAGTTTATGCCCAGCTTAATGTACAGCTGTGGTCAAAATGATAGCACCAAAATTCATAATGCTGTTGCTTGCGACTTATGTTTATTTAATTATTTTTAAATAATTTTCATTTAAATTATAGCTCGACCTATAACAGAAACCTAATAAGTAAATGCTTCCGAACTTACACAAGGTTCACGATAACTAATTGAATTTCAAGAAATTTTCATACAAATATCAAACTTCTTATTCAGTTGGGCAGTTTTATAGCCCATGCATTTTAGTATAATAAAGTGCAAGTTTCAAGTCCCTAAATCAAAAGTTATTTTTAGCGACTTGAAACTCACAGTAATTGGCAGTTTAATAGCTAGTGGTGTTAGTTAGTGGTTCAATGGTTAGTAACCGTGCTGAACTTAACAGTTTTAAAGCCACTGGGTTAGCAAAATAAGCTGACTCCAAGAAAGTGGCTATCGATGCTAAACAAAGGTGTGTGTAAAGCGCGAAAGATAGCAAAACAAGCAAATATGCACGAAGGCTGACAAAATATAACTTTCNCCGTGCTGAACTTAACAGTTTTAAAGCCACTGGGTTAGCAAAATAAGCTGACTCCAAGAAAGTGGCTATCGATGCTAAACAAAGGTGCACGAAGGCTGACAAAATATAACTTTTCAATCAACGCACTTTATGAGTAAATCACGTCAATTTATTGGAACTTGGCTTCAACAAACTTTTTCCGGTGTGAATAACACAAATTAGAACTGCTTAGCACAGAAACAGATAAACTTTGGAAATTCTTGCAAGCGAATGTTTATGCGACCGCACAGTACGAACGCTGCCAAATAAATAATAAAAATGAATACATATTTCGGATTATGACACGATTGAAGCAAAGGAGCGATATGTGTTATGTACATACATATATAAGAATATGCTTTTTTTAATCTTACCAAGATTTCGAACTCCTCTGTCTCCATTTTCGTAATTCCTTTTCAACAGTTCACGTTCTCCCGATAGATTCCATACGTGGGAATCATGCGATGCGCCCCCGAACCTGCCGTTAACGGCCCTTATCCTCATTTTAAGATCACATATCTGAAAGAAATTTTTTTTTGTTAATAACAATGAAATCTATGTTATTTGTTTATCGAGGCTATCACTGAATTTTCGTGAAATTAATGGAAACGCAACCATTAAATCCGATTCACTCCGAATGCATGCATTGAAAGTACATGTCGCTCATTTGCTGCAAGAGTGTCATAATCGAAAAGTAATTTCATAGCTGTATCGATTAACAATAGCCCATTAGAATAAAATGTGTCCTCATTTTTACTATCACACTCTTGCTGCAAATGAGCGATAGGTGCTACGATTTCCGGTAGATTTGAATTTGGACTACGGTGGATATAGTAATATGACAGTAATAGAGTACTCACCACCATTGCATTTATACTGTGCTTTAGCTTTCGATTAAAAAATAGATGCTCATTGGGTGACGGTCTAACCATTTAGATGTGTGTCCCATCAACCACTCCAATTACTCCTGGGATTCCGGACGTCATATAAAAACTTCTGCTGTAGTGCTACAAAAACATCGATATTTGAAACTATCGACTTTTCGATGTTTTTGCCAATAAAACATCGATAGTATCGATACTATCGCGGTTTCTTGGGAATTTTAACTTTTTGTTTCAAGCTGAAATCCTTATCAATTAACAAGCATAATTTTTGNTCGTTATTCGGTATTCAATGCTTCCCGTAGAGACAAACCATTGGTATTAAATTTTTATATCCAAGCAGAAATGAAATTAAAGTTACGGGTTAATAAAAACTAGATCTGTTTTTATATGTTATTATTTTCCATGATACAAATATTTCAAGGTAAAACCGCTCGCTCAATTCGTCGGTCATCATTTATTTTTTGAAGTTTGTCCACTTTATAAAATTGAAATTTTGTGAGCAACTCAAGTAAAACAAAAAACAAGTATATAAAAATATTCAAATTTTCTTTTATTTGAGAATGGAAGTGATAATGTATTTGTGAGATTGAAAATTTGAAAACATTTTTGTTATGCTAGCAAACTTCAAAAATGTCCAGGCTGTCTCTCAGCGGTTTTACCTTCAAATTTTTATATCATGATTATTTTCAAACATTTAATTAGTTCGACTAATAAAAAAGCCCAAGAAATGGTCAAAAAAAATTTATAGAGCAAAATTTTCTTAAGCAGTACGAAGTTCTTAAGAAATTTGCTAAGCTTTCTACTATGGTTTGCTAAAGTTTGTTTGTGAAGAGTACCAGGCACCCTTGTTTTCAACAGAAATATATGCCCGTTCCATTATTTCGTAAGGAAAAAGTATGACAGCAGGCTGTAAGCTTAAATTTTTTGGTCCTGGTAATAACTTCCCTGAACCCTTATTGGTACGCTTTTGCGTACTGTTAAAGGTTATGAATTTATTACGCTTTAATTTTTATACTTCTTGCCTGCCCCAAATCAGCAACGGATAAACTTTCCAATGATGGCATATCCTCTAAAAACATCGATAGTAAGAAAAACATCGATGTTTTCAAAAAAATATTTAAACATCGATACTATCGATAGTGCTCCGATGTTTTTGCAGCTCTATTCTGCTGTCGTTAATGTTTTCCTCATCAGTCAATGGAAACACTATGTGCTTTGGACACAGCACTTTCTCCATGGCACTAAACACTTCAAGAATGCAACGGGAAGCCGATTGTTGGGCCATCTCTGCGTGACGGTCTTGACCAAACTACTGTTGGTACCCGCCCTGGGCAAGAAACTTCAATGTTGTAGAAACTTTTACAATTTCAGGGATGGCGGTGGACCTTTGGGGAGATTTTAGTTCAGCTTTTATGTTATCCAAAACATATAAAAACGCATTTTTATTGAGCCGGAAGTTTTGGATAAAACTAAATACACATATACATACACTTTTAGTTATAGAGTAACTTTCAAACGCAATAATTTTCGCTCACCTTTTATCGCCCAAGCTCAGTATGTTGGAGTTGTCTCTGATATGCCTCCTCTCAATCCTTTCCTCGTGATAAGTATGATTCCATAACGCCAGAGAATCCATTTTCCAAAAAATTATTGAAATTTCAGCGCTCAAATTGTAATTATTTTCTTTGTTTTGCTCTTGTATTCTTTGACATGTTTGGCTGTGATGCCAACTCAAGCAAGAAGAGACCCGAAAACGAAAAAGCAACACTGTTAGGGATGCGAAAGCAATATAGAGTATCAATTGCTTATCGAATCGCATTTAGTTTTCGAATCGCATCGCCTTTCGTATCGAAATACAGGGTAACCGCCCTGAAAAGAAATGTTCCCTTCGTCTTTGTACGTACACGACGTTGCAAAACAAAAATGTTGGTTTTGCCTCCGTACACATACCTATATATGGTTTATTTCGATGTTTTTTTCTGAGACAAATATGGTTCTATTTTACTTATAAATCTAGATATCTATATACAATCGTACAGAGACAACTTACATATCAAATTAGGGTGCTCGATTTGAAACTTTGCACAAACATTTCAGATTTAAGAATCATTCGATATATGTACATACATACATATTTGCACGGAAAGATGAAGCCCACGCACGCATTCTCATTTTCAATTTCCAACAACAACAATTTTGAACAATTTCATTTCTTTATTTTTAATTTTGTATAATTTTAAAATGCTAGTAAATTAAAAAAAAATCTTGCGGACGAACTGAGGGATCGGTAAAGTATTTTACACCCCAGATAAATATGCGTTTCAGAGAATCTGATTATTGTCGCCTGACTCAAAAATTAAGATAAGTGCCAGAAGAGATTATTTTGCGAGTCGATTAGGTATTTTAACCTGAGCCTGGTGTAAATAAGCACTGTACGGTAGTTAATAAAGAAATAGTTTATACATATGTCGTCCGGAGAAGAAATTTTTACTATGGCGTCGATATCTACTGCCGTTTCTGAATATCGACAGGAGCAAGTGGAGTAGGGAAGTTGCTCGTCATGACTTGATACTAAAAGTTGAGCAGTTGTGATGTTAGCCCCGACCTGAATATNCATATCAAATTAGGGTGCTCGATTTGAAACTTTGCACAAACATTTCAGATTTAAGAATCATTCGATATATGTACATACATACATATTTGCACGGAAAGATGAAGCCCACGCACGCATTCTCATTTTCAATTTCCAACAANAAAACCGCAACCCCCGCAAATTCACAAAGTCTACCTTAAAAACGATGTTTGAAATATTNCCAGAAGAGATTATTTTGCGAGTCGATTAGGTATTTTAACCTGAGCCTGGTGTAAATAAGCACTGTACGGTAGTTAATAAAGAAATAGTTTATACATATGTCGTCCGGAGAAGAAATTTTTACTATGGCGTCGATATCTACTGCCGTTTCTGAATATCGACAGGAGCAAGTGGAGTAGGGAAGTTGCTCGTCATGACTTGATACTAAAAGTTGAGCAGTTGTGATGTTAGCCCCGAATTAAATATAGTCTACAGTCTACAGAATAATTGGACCTAAAGAACTGGGCAAATGTGTTGTCGCTAGACACAGTGTTGCAATAATGCATAGCGGACGGAAATCCATATAAATACTTTACGCTTTGAATTTACGAAACCATAAAATGATTTAGGATTGTTAAGTATATTCTTTTTATTTGTCAATATTATTGTGGNTCACTTTTAATGTTTTATTGAGACGAAAAAGAAAAAAAATTATAGGAAGATGCCAGATCTGTTTGTAAACCTCGCCACACACGTTGAAATCTCAACCGCTCGTTTCAATTTGCTGTCGGTGTGTAGCNAGACACAGTGTTGCAATAATGCATAGCGGACGGAAATCCATATAAATACTTTACGCTTTGAATTTACGAAACCATAAAATGATTTAGGATTGTTAAGTATATTCTTTTTATTTGTCAATATTATTGTGGCTACCGCTTAGACTTTGTTGCTGTTTCAATTTTTCCTAATAAAAAACAATCGTGGTACAAAGCTCAATAAAATATTAAAAATAAATTTTTCTTAATTTTACAAAGAATTTGAATTATATCATTTCTTATTTAATGCAAAGTAGCTATGCCGCTAGTGATCCATAATTGTGTTGGTTCTTCATGAACAATATTACGTTTTGGCACATACTTTCGAAACAAATTGAAAACAGTATCATTTACTACGCTTATGCGTAGGCTAATTCACGAATTCATTTCATGAATTTGGGTTAAAATTGGCTGCATAAACACCATTTCATGAATTCAATTATACACGAAAGTTAACCATGAATTCGGCATCGTTTCATGAAATCGTGAAGTGCAAGTCCGGCAACGCCACGTTTCACAAACAGCTGTTTACTAGGGTTATGTCGTTTTTAGACTAAAAAGCATCAGTGGCATAACCAGGATTTAAAACACTGGGAAAGTCGTGTGGAATTGTTCAAATATAAAATAGATTCAAATAGAATAAATTGAAAATATATTGAAACCAATTTAAACATAATATGGTACCTACGGCTTTTGCCACGTCATCTCTATATATTGGCCAAGATAACTTTGAAAGTTCTTTGTTAATTTTTCTAAAATTTGCTTTCGCAAAAACATATCTACTACTTGAACTATACGCCTTATTATTATGTATTTCATTTATAATTTCGTAGCTTAACCCAAGAGCGGGATGGTATGCATCCTCTGGCAAAACTAGGGGACCACAACGATTAATAGAGGCCTTCGGAACATCATAAATGTAAACGAGATCCAAGACCTTTCCAAACTTATTTGGACATATATTTATTTGTTTAAGGCAAAGTTCAGCAATTTCCTCCAGAAATACATTGTAACTATCTCTAGATCGGTGTCAACAATGTTCCATGAAATGTGTGGCAGATTTAAATCGCCCAAAGCAATCATAGAATCGGATGCCGTAAGAATGGCGTTTACGGACTCAAGTAAAGAAACTAGCTGCATATTAGAGATAGGCGCGGGATATCGGGACCCGCGGGACCCACGGTACTGATTTAAAATTGGCCGGGATGGGCGGTATCGGGAAATCTGTAAAAATATGGCGGGCGGGACGGGACCAAAATCCTTTCCCGACACTCCCGATAAAACCGCAACCCCCGCAAATTCACAAAGTCTACCTTAAAAACGATGTTTGAAATATTCACTTTTAATGTTTTATTGAGACGAAAAAGAAAAAAAATTATAGGAAGATGCCAGATCTGTTTGTAAACCTCGCCACACACGTTGAAATCTCAACCGCTCGTTTCAATTTGCTGTCGGTGTGTAGCCCGCTTTAGAGATAGATATCGGGACCCACGGGACCCGCGGTACAATTCTGAAAAATGTCGGGATGGGCGGGCTCGGGATTTAAAAATGGAATTTCGGGATGGGCAAGGTCGGGATTAAATATTTAGTCCCGTGCCCATCTCTACTGCATATATATACTNAGCGGGATGGTATGCATCCTCTGGCAAAACTAGGGGACCACAACGATTAATAGAGGCCTTCGGAACATCATAAATGTAAACGAGATCCAAGACCTTTCCAAACTTATTTGGACATATATTTATTTGTTTAAGGCAAAGTTCAGCAATTTCCTCCAGAAATACATTGTAACTATCTCTAGATCGGTGTCAACAATGTTCCATGAAATGTGTGGCAGATTTAAATCGCCCAAAGCAATCATAGAATCGGATGCCGTAAGAATGGCGTTTACGGACTCAAGTAAAGAAACTAGCTGCATATTAGAGATAGGCGCGGGATATCGGGACCCGCGGGACCCACGGTACTGATTTAAAATTGGCCGGGATGGGCGGTATCGGGAAATCTGTAAAAATATGGCGTGCGGGACGGGACCAAAATCCTTTCCCGACACTCCCGATAAAACCGCAACCCCCGCAAATTCACAAAGTCTACCTTAAAAACGATGTTTGAAATATTCACTTTTAATGTTTTATTGAGACGAAAAAGAAAAAAAATTATAGGAAGATGCCAGATCTGTTTGTAAACCTCGCCACACACGTTGAAATCTCAACCGCTCGTTTCAATTTGCTGTCGGTGTGTAGCCCGCTTTAGAGATAGATATCGGGACCCACGGGACCCGCGGTACAATTCTGAAAAATGTCGGGATGGGCGGGCTCGGGATTTAAAAATGGAATTTCGGGATGGGCAAGGTCGGGATTAAATATTTAGTCCCGTGCCCATCTCTACTGCATATATATACTTAGGGACAAGATATCGAACCGAAAGTATCGATATGGTACTCATTTAAAGTATCGCTATAAAAATATCGGGTACCCATTAATATCGGAATAAAATATTCCAAATATCGATACCAAAACCCAAAAAATTTATCTGAATATAGGTTTCGCATATAGGCCGTTTGGGTGTAGTGGTTAGAAGTGCGCAAACCTTGAACACGGAAAAAACCTTTCAGAGTCGACATAAAACTATAGGCACCCCCTTTGTGCCACAACATTAAGGCCCACGCGACAAATCGGAGAAGTTCGGCCAAACACTAAAGGGCCATTCACATACAACTTTCCTCGCTTTGCTTGGCAGTTCAAACTTTGACAAAAAAGCGTGAAACGCAGAAGGTATGCTACAATAAACGCTTTGACAGCTTATGCGTTCTCCTTTTCCTCCATATTTTTTATCTGTAAAATAGATAGCAATATAATAATATGCATTAATAGCAATAAAAATTCCTATTTTTGTCGTTAAATCCATATGCAAGCGCACGAGAAAAGATACATGTAGACAGCTGATTGCCAAAGCGGGCAAAAGTTGAGAGTTGCCCAAGATTTTGCTTCGTTTTGCTTTGCTTTGCTTCAAACGTTTTTTATGTGAGCATACTCATGCATAT